ACACACACACACACACACACACACACACACACACACACACAACACGCACCACACACACACACACACGCAACACACACAAGAAGAGAAAGAACGCGCGCCAGGGAGGCACCCGCCGCGCGCGCGCGCGGGGCGCGCGCGCGGCGCCTCCTCCAAATGCAAATCGCCTGCGAAGCGCACGCGCCGCGGGGGCAGCGACCCCCCCCCGCGGCGACGCAACCCCGGCGCTAGCAAATCACCTGCGAAGCGCACGCGCCGCGGGGCAGCGACCCCCCCCCCCGCGACGCGCAACCCTGGCGCGCGACGGCGCGATGGCCCGCGCCTGCGCAGCGAGGCCGCGGTCGCGTCGCACTGCCGCGCGCGCGACCTACGCGCAACCGTGGCCGATTTGTGCCCGCCCACAACGGTGAACGTCCGCGTCTGCGAGCGGACTTGCCGCCGTGGGCCTACCATAAAGGCTCCCAGGGAGCCCCGCGAAGCGCCAAAAAAAATTCTCTGAGGCCACCAGGAGGCCACCAGCAGGTTCAAAAACTGTTTCCACACGCCCCCGAAACGCCTCCCACGAGACCCCGTCCGCCTTCCGACCCGCAGCCCATGCACGGTTGGCGGGATGTGCCGAAGGCTGGTCGATAATCGTTCAGCTGAAATTTGAACATATGCCCGCCGTTGGTACACGTGGGTTCTCGCCAATTCCCCGGTGCGCGCACGGCGAACACTGAAAATGTCAGCAGCTGAAATAACTGCTGCCTGTGCAGGCTGTGCCGCGATTGCCGTGGGCCCCGGGGGCATTGTTGGCGAGCGCGCGGCAGAATGCCCAAGAAGGTCCCAGCACGCCCCACAGCTCGCTCCGAGACCCACACGACGGCTCCAAAACGTCATTTGAAAGATGCCAACCGAATGTACACGTGGGGCCTCGCCCGTTTCCCCGCTCCTTTTTTCGCACACCGAAGCGGCCCAAACAGAGCGCAAGAACAGTCCAAGACAGCCGAGGTGGCCCAAGGTAGCCCAACGACGATCCAAGATGGCATCGAAACGGCACTCGACCTGCCCGAGACGGCCCAGGAATCAACCAGTGGTGCGTCGGAGGCATGATTTCCTGTTTCCTTAAGCGCACGTCAAAATCAGGTACCGTCCCGAATCAGATCGGCATGGCCTGAAACCTAGTCCAAGGGCGCTCCACTCTCGTCCCATCAGATCCTTCCCGCCTCCTGTCCCCTTCAACCACCCCCCCGACAAGTTTCTCCTGAGCATCATCCCGAACAAGTTTTGAGACGAGCGTAGGTCCTGCGACGAAGGCCCTGTCGCGACCTACGTGAATCGAATAACTACGCCCGCAGACAACATCCCACCGTCCTTCTGGACGTCGGTGGGTTAGAGGAGCCCATCGTCCAACACCCTGCCTCCCCGTCGAAAAATAAGATTCCCCTGCTCCGTAATCATAGCCACCCACCCCCTCGACCGACGACCGACCAGAAGCAAAGAACCCCCCCAACCATCCCGGCCATCACAATAATTACAAGACAACGTGCACTTTGCGACATAACCTGGATCATCTTCGGGCGTCCCGCCCTCAATGTGCATTGTTCTGTTACACGACAGCAGGGGGCATCATATTACCCTGCGTGTACAGGCCTGCCATTCCACCAATGTGCACGTGGCGGCAACCTCCCCGACCCCTTGGGTTGTCCTCAGCGTGTGAGATGCTTACACCTCCCCCTGACCCCTCCGCCCGGTCGATTTGAAGGGAGCGGGGTTCGCCCGGATCCCCCGAGCCCGGCCCCACCGCATTACGGAAGGATAGAGGCCCCCACAACGAGCCCATAAGACCCAAGGGGCCCCCCGAAGAGTATCCAAGAGGGCCCCCAGTCGCCGACGGCTCCTCCAGGACGGCCAAGTAGCCTCCAGACGGCCCAAAACGACCCCAACACGCCTCAAAGAGCCCTCCAAAGAGGGCCCCACGAGCCAACACTCATTGATTCTCAATCCGCTTTTGAAAAAAATGATCGTTCTCACCCTTTCGGCTTCCCGAGGCTCAACGACGGCCCAAGAGGCTCCCAAGATCTCCCCAGTCGGCCCCAGAGGCATCCAAGAGGGCCCCTAACCAGGCAAAGAGAGCCCCCGCACGGCCCCAAAGACGGCCTCAGAGGCCTCCAGCATGCCCAAAAAAGCCCTAGACCGCGCCTCAACAGGGCTCAAGAGGGGCCCAAGAGGGGTAACTGAAACTGAGATTCCGAACCCTCCACCCGAAGAGGCCCCCGAGACCGACAGCAGGCGCCCAAGAACACCCCAAGAGGCCCCATAAGGCCCAAAAGAGCCCCCCAGAGGCTCCCAAACGGTCTCCAAAAGGCCTCCAAAACTCTCACCGTGGATTTCATCCCTCTTCTGGGGGTCGGCGGAATGGCGTAAGTCTGTGGAATATATTCGTCACCGATACCATCGTCATAATGTTCGCCACCATGACTGTAATTGTGATCATAGTCCTCGAACCATCCCCCCATAGCATCAACACGATAATCACCATCACGATCACCAGAACCATCACCATCACCACCATCAGTATCATCATCAGCATCATCATGTCGTCATCATCATCATCATCATCATCATCATCATCATCATCATCATCATCATCGTCATCATCAGCATCATCAGCATCACCATCATCCTCATCAGCATCATCAGCATTAGCTTCATCAGCATCATCTGACCATCATCATCAGCATCAGCATCCGAATCAGCATCATCATCAGCAACAGTAACGTCAGCATCAGCATCAGCAGCAGCATTATCATCATCAGCATCAACATCAGCATCAGCATCAGAGCCATCGTCATCAGCAGCAGCTTCATCAGCATCATCATGATCATCATCATCATCATCATCATCATCATCATCATCATCATCATCATCATCATCATCATCATGATCAGCATCATCATCATCATCATCATCATCATCATCATCATAAGCAGCAGCAGCAGCAACATCATCATCATCATCATCATCAGCGGCAGCATCGTCAGCATCATCATCATCATCATCATCATCAGCAGCATCATCATCAGCAGCATCATCATCATCATCATCATCATCATGATCATCATGATCATCAGCAGCATCATCATCAGCATCATCATCAGTATTCTCATCCGCAGCCTCACCAGCATCATCATCCATCACCACCACCATCATCATCATCGCGATCATCCTCAAGCTCAGACGCAGCAACATCATCATCATCAGCATCATCAGCATCATCATCATCACAACCGCCACTGTCGCTATCATCTCTATCACCATCCCCCATGATTCGTCATCAGCAGCAGCATCAGCATCATTATTACCCGCGCCTGTCGTCGAATCACTTGCGCGGAAATGGCGACCTATTACGCCGCATGCGGCCTAACGTCGTCATCATCAGCAGCAGCCGCATCATCATCATCAGCGGCAGCATCACTGTCATCACCATCATCATCGTCATCATCATCACCATCATCATCAGCATCATCAGCAGCATCATCATCAGCAGCATCATCAGCAGCGCCGTCGCTGTCGTCATGGTCATCGTTATCATCGTCATCGTCACCACCGAGGCCATTCTGAAGGTACCCAAATACCCTCGCCTCCCTCGCCCCTCCAGACACGATCAAGGCCTCCGCCTTCTCCTGCAGGTCCGGAGTCCTCCCTCCAGAATTGACCGAGGTATAGGCTGCAATTGATCTCTGTATGTATATATCTATATATAGATCTATATATATATATATATATATATGTGTGTGTGTGTGTCTGTCTCTCTTATTGGCAGTGAGCTCCACGTTTGTCTTCTGTCTCGCTGTTTGAGGTCCACGAGGGAGTCTCGGTGCGCGTTCCAAATAAATTCCATGTTGGGCGTCGTTCTCACCGACTTCGCTTCGGCGCAGCATGCGCGATGTTTGGCACCGTAACGCGACGACACGCATGTCATGTGTAGCTCATCCCACTATTGTACTACGTGCGCTACACGTTTGGGGTGGGGGCGAGGGAGGGCTGATGTCAGACTTCCTTGCAGGGGCAGGGCAAAATGCTGAGAGAGCAGCAGGCCCAAGGAGCACCCCCCCCTTTATACAGGCAAGTCATTGAAAATTGAAAAAAGGGCGCTCGGAAGCGCCCGACAGGACTGCAGCGATGAGAAGCTCCGCGGATGCGCGTGCCATCAATAGCTCCGTCACAACTTCTCGGAGGCAACTGTCCAAACAGACAAGCAACGAGAAGAAGCAGCTCTGAACATGTCTGATCACAGGCAAGTCATTGAAGATTGAAATAGGGGCGCTCGGAAGCGCCCCACATGACTGCAGCCGAAACTCCGAGCTGCGCGTGCCATTAATAACTCCATCCCCGTTTCTCGGAGGCAACCGTCCTAGAGGAAGAGCGACGAGAAGGAACAGCTCTGAACATGTTCTGACCCCAGGTGCAGATGCATCATAGATATAGACAGTAGACAACAAATACCATAGTCAGCATGTTCGCCATGATCATCGAAAGTGTGATCACAGTCATCGTAACATCCCTCGATACCATCAACAACAACACCACCACCATCATCATCAGCAGCAGCTGCAGCATCTTCATCATCACCATCACCATTACAATCAGCATCACCCTCATGAACAAACACAACACCAGCATCATCATCAATATCATCAGCAGCAACAGCTGCAGCATCATCATCATTACAATCATCATCACCATGATCAACAGCAACACCAGCATCATCATCAACATCAGCAGTAACATCATCTTCATCATCGAGATAAACAGCTGATTCGTCATCCTCATCACCACCATCATCATCATCATCATCACCATCACCATCACTATCACCATCATCATCATCATCATCATCATCATCATCATCAGCAGCAGCATCTCCATCATCACCATGACCACCATCATCAACGTCATCGCCGTCCTTGTCGTCATCGCAGTCATCGTTATCGTCGTCATCGTCACCACCAAGGCCTTCTCAGGGTACCCTCCCGTCTCTCGCCCCTTCAGAGACTACCGAAGCCTCCGCGGTACCCCGCAAGGCTGGCGGTTCCGTGGTCGCCGTCGCCACCCCGCGTAGTCCGTGCACGCTGGTATACTGGGCATCGCTCGGACGTCCATTCCCTGCGCTTTTGTTCGGTTTCGTGCGTGGCTTTTTCGCAAAATGATCAAGGATGCTCCTCGATGATCCTCGCCGAAGGAACAATGCACACGTCCGAGCGATGCCAAGTATAACGCCCAGGGTGGTCGCTGCAGAGTGTGAAAAAAAGCGCTCGCAGACTTCCTGTGATGAGGCGAACAGAATGTCCAGGTTCGCCCTGCTGGCCCAGCGACTAGCTCATAAGCCGAACCGTCGAGGTCAAAAAACCTGACCTGCCCACAGTGGAGCAGAAGAGGTACTGCCGAACTGCCGCGCAGTGTTGTACGACCCAAATAAGGGGCTTACATGCGAACCCTACCCCTGCCCCCCACGATTTCCGAGGGGGAGGGTGGGCGTCACGCGACCTGTCCCGAGGCTTCGGGAGCGTGGTTCGAAATCGAATCCTCCATCATGCTTCAAGGTAATCCGCTGACTTCACTCTGGAGCCCCCGTGGGGGTCTCTCGGGCTGTGTTGGAGCCCCCAATACTGAACAACGACACGGCGTCGCTCACAGAACAGCGCTTGTACTTAGAGGCTCTAACTTCGGTGTCAAAGGGAACTGAGCCTGCGCGACGGTCCAGCAGCTGTGTCATCGCCGTCGCCGCCCCGTGGCCACCTCTTCGCCGCCTGTCGTCTGGGCCTGCGCGTCGGTCCAGCGGCTATGTCGTCACCGTCGCCACCCCGTCGCCGCGTCGTCGCCGCCTGCCGTCTGGGCCTGCGCGTTGGTCCAGCGGCTGTCGTCGCCGTCGCCGCCCCGTCGCCGCCCCGTCGCCGCCTCGTCGACGCCCGTCGTCTGGAACTGGGTGCCGGTCTGGCGGTTCCGTGGTCGCCGTCGCCACCCCGTCGCCGCGTCGTCGCCGCCTGTCGTATGGGCCTGTGCGTCAGTCTGGCGAGTGTGCGGTCGCCGCCACCACCACGTCGTAGATTGCACAATGTTAGCCAGCGTGGACCCCAAACACTACGGATCTAGTAATATATGGTGCGCAATCGATGTGGAGCAATCTACGGTGTGCAGCAAATGTGATGCAATCTATGTTGTGCGATCTACGGTGTACTATATGTGTGTATATATATTTACTAGAACCATCGCGCGCGCGCTTCGCGCGCGCTCAGGTTCTAGCAGGCCCCAGACCTTGACGAATTCATTGCTTTACTGGAGTAATGTACCACAGTCCACGGCTGCCAATCTGCATTCCGAAAGGCCTTCGAGGAAAATGGTCATGTAGGGGGCGGAGGCTGTATGAATCGGGTTCCCAGAAGGCCGTCTTGGGGAGCCTGTTGGGGCGTGCCGTCGTCGTCGTCATAATGTCGTCGTCGCCTATTGGGGCGCGCCGTCGTCGTCGTCGTCGTCGTCGTCGTCGTCGTCGTCGTCGTCGTCGTCGTCGTCGTCGTCGTCGTCGTCGTCGTCGTCGTCGTCGTCGTCGTCGTCGTCGTCGTCGTCTCGTCGTCGTCGTCGTCGTCGTCGTCGTCGTCGTCGTCGTCGTCGTCGTCGTCGTCGTCGTCGTCGTCGTCGTCGTCGGTTCAAGAGGGCACTTGGGGCAACTTTGTGCGAAACGATCTGCGGAGGGCCGCGAGAAGGCGATCAATCATGTTCCCAATCAACTTCCCAGACAGCTCTCCTGTAGCATGATGGTACTTCGAAGCCTCCGGAGACTCGCGGGCCCATGATGAACCATGTCCCCGGAAGGCTTTCTGGGGACATGGTTTGTTGGGGTGTGTTGGGGGGTCTCTTGGGCGTTCCCTGGGGGCCCCTTGGGGGCCTCCAGGAACTCTCGGACCCATGATGAACCATGCCCCGGAAGGTTTTCTGGGGACATGATTTCTTGGGGTGTGTTGGGGGGCCTCTTGCCTCCTGGGCCGTCTTGGGGCCCTCGTCGGGGCCTCGTGGGCCTTCTTGGAGCGATCTGATGGGCCTCCGAGGCCGTGAGGGAGCGCTGGAAAGCGGGAAAAGCGAGAACGCCAAAGTCCAAAACACTCGGAAAACGAGCGAATCTTGCCTTCCAGGGCCCTCTTGGGGAGCCTCTTGAGTCCGTCTTGGAGCGTGTTGGAGTCCTCGTCGGCTGTCTTGAGGGCATCTCGGGCGTCTTCGGGGCCTCGTGGGACCGTCTTGGGCCCTCTCGGGACCCCCTTAGCCTGTCGTGGCCTGCTTCGGGGCGGGCTCGGGCCGCCTCGGGAGCTCTGGACCCCCCCCCGCAAACCCCCGGTGGGCACCGGTGGGGGGAACAGGCAGCGGCCCGCCTCCCCCCGGGCCTACTCCGAGATCGAGAATCATGTTCCCGGGAAGCTTTCCGGGATCATGATTTGATCAGCTCTCTAAGAGGGGGGCCTCTGGGGGCTTACCGAGGGGCGCCTTTTGGCCTTGTCGGCAAGCCTATTGGAAACATGGTTGGGGCGGTGGGCGGAAGCCCAGGGAATCATGTTCCCGGAAAGCTATCTGGGAAATACGATTTACCGAAGTGTTATGGGGGCCCGCAGGGGGCTTCCCTGGGGGCCCCTTGGGGGCCTATTGGGGCTTCTGGGGGGCCTCTTTGGAGCCTCACGGGGCTTCTTGGGAGCCTCTTGATGGCCTCCAGGGGCGTCCTAGGAGCCTCTCAGGCCGGAGACCTTGAAATATCGCGCTCTTCGGGCCCTCTTGGGTCGCTCTTGGAGCTCCCTTGGGGCGCTCTCGAGGCCCTCTTGACTTATCTGGGGAGCCTCCTGGGCCGTCTCTGGGCTTTCTTGGGAGCCTCTTCGGCCGTCTTGGAGCGATCTGAAGGGCCTCTGACGTGGTCCGGGACCGTGGGGAGGCGGAACAGGGGAGAGCGCAAGAATGCTTCAAAAACGATTGGAAAATGGGGCCCTTTGGAGGCGCTCTTGGGGCGTTTTGGCGGCGTTTTGGCGGCGACGTCGGCCGTCCTGAGGCCATTTTCTTGGGAGCCTTTGGGGGCCTCTGGGGGGTTTCTTACGGGCCTCTTGGGGGCTTCGGGGGCCCTCTTGGAGCGGGGGGCTTGAAAATTCAGCTGGGTTTCCCCATGTTGGGCCCCTCTTGGGCCATTTGGGGGCGCGCTTGGGCCGTCATAGGCGCCTCTTGGACCGTCCTGGGACCCTCGTGGCCCGTCTTAGACCCCTCTTGGGGGCCTCTTGGGTTGTCTTGGGGCGATCTAGCCTCTGAAGTCGTTAAGGACCGCTCGAAGATTTGAAAACCGAGCCTGGTAAAAATGTACGTTGCACATAGGAGGGATTGGGACGTTTTTTCGCATGTAGGGCCCCTCTTGGGAGACTTCTTGGAAGGGGTCTTGAAGCGTCTTGGACGCCTCTCGGGCCTTCGAGACGCCTCTAGGACGAGAAGAGTCTATTGACACAACGTGCTGCTTATACGTTCCGGGGGGGGGTCCGGGGATTCCAACAGCTTTCGCGCGGGGTACACTTTGCGTCGAGTTGTGTCTACTCTGCCTGGCGCCGCTGGTCGGTCACCCATTCGTAATCGAGTAGTCGCCCGTAGGGGGCTACTCGGCACTGCTGATCCCCATTTTTCATTGCCGAGCATGGGGGGACGGTGGCGCACCGTACCGTCGCCCGCCGCCACGCACTGCGCGTCTAGGCGGATTTCCAAAGACCTGGTAAGGCAAATCACGCGCGACTCTGGAAAATTCTCCGGGGCTAAATATGAAAAACCCGGGAACGTTTTTGAACATGTCCGACCTAATGTTTGAAAAAGATCCCAAAATCGATGTTGAAAAACTCCGGGGTCGATTGTGAAAAATTCCTGAATCCATTTTGAAAAATTCCGGATCTCAAAATCCTTCAGATGTCCTGCGCGGCGGGCGCAGAACAACCATAAGCAGAGGCTATTCAGGGATTGGAGAGTGGTACCAATACGGCGAGCAGGGGGGGATGCGAATGTGCGTCCACATCGCACTCTGCGCGTCTTCCGTGGATCGCGAGCTGGGATCAGCCCCGGATCCGCTACCAACTAGAATTGCGGGGGAGGGTTGGCCCTCAGAGGCGAAGCATGATGTAATGGATCGGCCCTGTAACTTCTGGAACGTATGCGCTACGCGTCGGCGCTAGGCCAAACGGCAGCGGCACATCATATTTGAGTAGGAGAGGTGATAGGACGGAGGTGTAGAAATCCCTTGTTTGCACCGCAGCCGGCTTGAGCCTCGAGCCAAGGACAAATTCCTCCTTATCGAAGTCACCCGCTTATCTTTTCATGGTGGCGGAGCTGTGGTGATAGATTCTCGGAGGATTACCGTATCCCCAGCCCCAAGTAGGGCTCTGGGAAGGCAGAAAGCAGCGTAGGATCCCCAACCCAAGCAGGGCTCTGGGAAGACGTAGAAACAATGGCAGCGGTCATCGACACAAAACTGTTAGGACGAGGTCTCAGAGATTTCTCCGGAGATGAAAACGACTGGAGCGATTGGTGTTATCGTTTCGAATCGTATTGTGGAGCAGTGAGTCAAGTAATGTTGCAGAGCATGGAACGTGCACGAGAACATGAGAACCCCATCGTACTAGCAGCTGCAGAAGATGATGTAAAACAGCACTCTGCGAATCTAGCCTATATTCTGAAGAGTGTAGTGTATGGGGAGATGACGAAAGTTTACAGGAAGATTGAGAAAGGGAACGGTTTTGAAATGTGGCGTAGGATGTGCATTCGGTACGAACACAAAGACAAAAACACGAAAAGGGGAGTTCTGAACGCAGTGATGGATTTTAGTTTCGCGGGCGCCTCCCTCCCAGAGGTTCTTGAGCGCCTCGAAGAGCTAGAATTGCTCATCAAAGAATACGACGATCTAGCTTCTCCAGACGAGCTAGCAGATGATGTGATAGTGAGCGTGGTAATTAAGACGATCCCAGAACCAATGAAGACTCATTTTGAGTTAAATGGCCATTTGTGCGAAACTTACGAAGATCTCAAACGAGAGATCCACAAATACGTCGGAAGCAAACGTGTTTGGAAGAACCCCATATGGGAGAAAAAAGAATGGCCCGAAGCCCATGGAAGTAGATGCCTTCAAGGGCTCTCCAAAAGGATCCCCCAAAGGATTTCCGAAAGGTAACCCCAAAGGCTTTACGAAAGGATCCCCGAAAGGTGACCAGAAGGGCTCTCCTAAAGGATTCCCCAGAGGCACACCGAAAGGAGGTACCCAAGGATCTTGGTCTGGCCGTGGATACCCATCATCCTCCTGGAGAGGACCGGGTTCCTCCACCCAGGCTCAGAGTTGGCACCAACCTGACCGTAAAGACAAATGGAAGGACCAACCGAACAGCGGAGGCAAGAGTGGTTGGAATCCGACCTCAAATAAATGGTGTGACATTTGCAGGATGAAAAACCATTGGACCTCCGAGTGCCGATTCAACGGCAAAGGAAAACAACGTTCAGGGAAAGGGAGCCACTCCAATGAGCAAGCCTGGGATCAAAATTCGTGGGGTCTGGGGTGGTCTT